GCGAATCACCTTATTCTTCATGTGGGTGATGCTTCTTCTTTGTGTAAGTGAAATGACTTCGCATTGTGGGTGATTAAGGTTTCTCTCTACAAAAATGACGGAATTGTGGTCTTGTACTCAGTTGGAAGATTTTAGGTTTTGTTAAGACATATTAATTACGATTATAAGATGTTTAATTTGTTTTAAGTGTATTAATCTAAGGGAACAATACATAACTTAAGTTTAAAATTTCAAATATTTCTAAATTTTATTTATAAATTAATTAATTAAACATATATTAAGGTCACAATTCCATATAATTTGGTTACCAATTATAAATTAATTGGTCAAAAATTATTTTTCGATCATAATAAAAATTTTTATAGGTTACAAATTATATTATAATGACAAATCGACAATTTTATAGGTCACAATTTTTTCATTAGTCACAAATTTATAAAATTAGTAAGTCACGTATTATTCATTGGTCACAAGTCACAAATTTTATATACCACAAATTTTTTTAACGTCATAATTCAAAAATTTTATAAGTCACAATTTGTTCATCGATCACAAGTCAAAAATTGAAACGTCACAATTTATTTGTAGGTCACAAGTCACAAATATTAGAAATCACAAATTATCAAATTATCGGTCACAAATTAACAATTTTTTAAGTCACGCGTTCTTTTTTGGTCAATAATTTCATATATCACAAATTATTTATCAATCACAAAATGAAACTTTTATTGGTCACAATTCGGTTATAACTTAATAAATTGTGAGTTTTTAGGTCACAAATTATTAATTTGTCAAAAATTAACCAATTATTGGTCACAATCAACCAAATAATTGGTCACAGACACCCATGTCCATGTCATCCCACCCACGACCATCATCACAACACCGCATACAGCACTACCGTCAAACACCACCACAGCAACGCAACGCACCACTAGTAACCTCCGTTCCCACCACCGCAAAAAATCACAGAACAAACACAGATCAGCACAAATACTCACAAATTGCCCACCTCCACCACCCCGCAACCTCAACCACCATCTATCTTCATCTCAGACACACTACAACCACCAACCCCACTAAAAAATCCCCAAACGGCCGCCACCACCACGGCCACAATAGCAACTACGATGTCGCACCACCACACAGCCACCGTCAAACCACCACAACGCCACCACTTAAAAATCCCCAAATCCCCACAGCTGCACAACACACCACCACATCTACAGACAACACCACCACACAAACAATAAGAAATTAAAATCATCCTAAAATACCAAATATGTCAACTAAGCAAGGAAGAAGAAAAAACCACCCCCAAAACCACGATTTGACCGTCGGCGATGCTTCGGCGAGGTGAGTGTCTTGGTAGGTTTGGATTTGAAATGACAGAGATGGTAGTGAAGAGAGAAAGTAGAGAAGATGAGAGAACCGCCGCCGTCGCTACCACCACCACCTTCTCATTGTCTATAGCCACTACCATAGCCATGACTTTCACTTGCACCACCAACAAAAAACCTCACCACCACCGCTAATAGCATCAACACCACACCACACTCGACCACACTCGCCGCTCGAATCTTCTTACTCTGGATGATGCAGGCCCGCCATCGACGCCGTTGCTCGTGTTAAGTTGGAGTCTCCCCAACGCTGTAAAGAGAGGAGGGAGGGAGGCAAATAATAGGGTTTGGGGAATAGGGTGGGTATATAGATTAATTTAGTTTTAAAATATTATTATTAATTAATTAATGTTTAATTATGATCTGATTTTTGTAAAAATAAACTTTAAATTTGATTTTTGAAATGTTAACTTTAAAATTCTGGTTCCATGTAATTTCTACTTAATCTAATTCCTTTCCTTTTTAGAGTAATTGACCTAATTTCCTCAACAAATAAAGTGTACTAAATGGTCCATTAGTCAATTATCTAGGCCTTTTGTGTTCCTTGAACCTAGGCCTCCAGACTGTCAAGAGAGCGAGCGATGGTCCATTCTCCAAATATTTCCAAGACATCATTGCTTCTTATGGTTTATATCATAACTAAGAGAAAATAACTTATTGCCATTTTTTTTATATTATGTATTTTCGGCTCACCATAACCGACAAAAGCTCGCAGCGCTACAATGGTAACATGTAAGTTACTCGTGTTGGAGACTCTAGTTATTGGTTTCAAAAGGAAAAAATAAATTCTTTTCAAGGGTTCACTCATGGAGCGGTTCGGTTTTTCAAACAAACCCGTTCGGTTCCGATGGATTTTGACAGGGTCAAGCGGTTCTTGACCAGTTGCCAAGTGCCCCAATATAAAAATCTGATCAAGTCACTATATTCTGGTTGCCCTCTAGTTCGATTCAATCCATTTCATGGAAAGTAGAGAAATTGATGGCAACCAAAACGAAACACAAAAATAGATATTTGAATTTGCATCTTATTTTTAACGAGGAAAAAAAATAATTCGATATAATTATTTTCAATAGATGTTTGGTATTATCATCATCAGAGCCGTTCTCCTACCCACTGTGGGAAGTCTTATAATATCCACTCGAAGAGAACCCAACGTTGGGTTTTCCTGCCCACGAGAACATTTTCATTATCATCATTTTATCCAAAAACTTTATGTTACTAATGCAATTCACCGATCGCCCAATTGCAAGCTCGGAATACACCCATGCAAACTCTCTTTCGATCCACTCCGTTTCAAGTATGCCTCTATATTAATATTTAATAGTAAAATTCTTGAAACTTGATTACTGACTCGAACTGGTACCTTTAACATAATTTCTAACAAAGGGGTCCTAAAATTAAAAGACTTTAGTATTGCATAAAAGTTTTGTTTTATCATGTTGGCACGTAATCTTATAGTTGTCAATTGTCGTTACGTATGACCATCATAAATTGTCTTTTCAATTGTTTATGATCATCATGTTAACACGCAATTGTATATTTGTCAGTTGTCATTATACATGACCATCATAAATTGTCTGAATTTACATATATTATGTCGTTACTTTGAATTCAAATCGTACACGTATTTAATCTCTAGATAGCCATGACCAAAATATTTGATCTCGACTTCCTACCTATAGTGGTTCTACCCTATTGAATCATTCAAGAAATTATAAAGGGATGAACCGCATCCATTGCGGCCCTCACCTGCACTGTCCTAGATCTTGATAAAGAAGGTAAATCGGAAGTTATGCATTCAAGAGTATAGGGTGAAAAGTTGTTTGTACACTTGTACTTACCAAGAGCCAAATCCATATTTCAAAATTCAAACTCTTGCCTCAATCGAAGTTGGAGTTTTTCCACATTTCCCTTTTACCACTTGGAGAGGTGCCATGAGGGGCATCATTCAAGAAATTATAGCGACTACACAATTTGGTTCAAGAAGCAATTGTATCCTTTCCAGTACAAAAATTCAAAGGAAATCGGTGGTGGGATCCTCCCACCTATTGAATTATTGAGGACCACCATTAATTTAACTTAGACATATCAATATATAGTGATTCGGAGCCAAACAATTTAGAGATGATCGTCTTTTGATTTATTCATCATGTTACACTAATGTCAAGGTACTAATGAAATGTCACTCTCAATGATAAAATTTTACTCGTGTCTAATCGGAGACGACAAGAATTGATAATTTGTATGGAACAGGATGAAGACGTGCAAAACTTTCTTCGAATGAAAACACAATGCAAAGGCCTAAGGACAATTTGAGATGCATATTATTGTGCTGCCCATTTTTTGGTATAAGTTAAAATATTTTCCTTTTTTTATTTTTTTAACATTTTTACACCCCGTGACATACTAGCTATATTTAATTTTCATAAATTGGCATTAATGGGACATCGAATTTTTGGCGAAGTTTAAAATTAATTTTTAGACCGTACGTCTTCATGGACGGGCTAAATAACTAACGATATGTTGTCAAGCTAAACCGCGTCATTTAAATTTTATTTTATTTTTTTTAAAGATTTTTTTTAAATATAATTATCTTCAACAATATATCCCCAAAAAAAAAAATCTCAATTGAATTTGAGAAGTTTTAAAGCTTGGCACTTGGTTGTTGAAGGTTGGTTTTCTCATTTCCTCAACTTGAGAGATCTATGTCATGTACAATAAATCAACCTTGTAATCATATTAAGAATTGTACTACTTGTACATCACCCCTTACACAAGGGCTGACATAATGCACAAGTGGCGCCTCCTGGGGTCGAGGCGCCCCTCCAATGTGGAGGCGCCACTTGTGCATTATGTCATCCCTTGTGTAAGGAGTGATGTACAAGTAGCACAATTCTTATTGATTTTTATTTATTTAATCTTCAGCCAAATTGATTTTTTGGTGCAACTTCATGGATGCCATAAAGAATAATTTGAAGTTGAATGCAAAGAAATAAAGTGACTTTGACTTTTTGGCTTCCATCCCATCAAACAATTTTCATCTAAGCGGCGGAGTTACCTCTGACGTATCAACATTTACACCTAAAACGATCATTCTTTCAATGGCAAAACTGAAATTGGAGAAATGTATTTCTCAGGGCGTGTCGAGGTAATCAATTGAATTTGCCATTTGCCTGAATATTTTAATACAATCCCTCCAAATTGTGTTAAAAATCTAATTTTAATCGGCGCTTAATGAATGAACATACCTTGCTCTAGGAGGCTAGTAATTAATGTCTCTCCTTGCCAATGGGAACTTTGACAGTCAGGTACAAACCATAGTATGAATGTTCCCCACAAGAAACTGCAATTTATATGCTGTGTTTTTAGGTAAAAAAAAATGGAAGTTAAAAATGTCCAGTAGAACCCTACAAAAACAGGCAGAGAAAGATAAGTGGATGATGAGAAAACCAGTTTTACTGCCGTGTGTGCGCTTTTTGGAGAAATTAATGTTTCTCCCCTCTGCACAAAGACAAACAAGGACCATATGATTTGGATCTAGGTCCATTGATCAGTAAAGGACTTTTCCAAATGATTATTCTTAGCAATGAGCAATGGGAAAGCAAGCACATGCATACTGTTAATGGATTTTCCTAGGTGGTCCTAGATGCGCATATCAGTGAAGAGTGTGATGTCAACGCTGAGCAAACGAATAAATCCCAGTTTCTGTCAAGCAAATCCAAGTCATTTCCATGCTCGACTGAAATTCAGTGAGAATGATATACAAGTGTAGATGGAATTCCATTCCGCCTGAGAATCCCATTCACTTTAACTTGAAGCGAACAATCACGGGAAAAAATGGCACACGAACAGAGTAAAAAGAACTAAAACACTAACGTCAAAATATGGCAGAATTTGCCTTCTAACTGCCAGAGCTTATGCATTAAACCATTAATATGCAGGGAAAAGTAAGCAAAACCACAATAAGAAAAGAATAATATTATTAACCAATGAGATCCAACCCTTAAGTTGGCTTCTTCAATAGAAGTATAAATATTCATCAAGGCTCGAGAAAAACCTGAGGATGATTATAATACAGACTAATAGAGGTATGCAAGCTACTATAAGAAAAAATTATTCAATAACTGAGCTAGGAATTTGTAACTCCTACTATTCTGTTAATCAAATGGAATATGCCTACCCATATGAACAATTGCCATGAGTTGACTCTACCATTTGGTTAGATTTTCATTTTCCAGACTATGTTATCAATGCCACCGTCATGAATTTTCTCCACAGCAGCTACTTTCCTCCGATGACCTGCAAGGGAAATTGTTAACTTCTCCCTTTCGTCCTGAGGGAATTCGCGAGCTTCACTGATGGAAGCTGATCTCAAGTCAGCCGGTGGAATAAAGCAATCTAGTGATAGACCACGAACATTGAATGCAACCTCTTCAATTGTCCAAGCTTCTTCCATCCTGGTTTTCGAATGGCCCATCGCCATGTCCCCAAACCGAAAAAGAGTCACCACAGAACGCCCAGAGTGAGCAATCATGATTCCTTCAACAGGCTGGTAATCATCAAGGAAAGAACTGATAGTAGTCTCCCAGTACACTGCATCTCCACCATTAGATTGGATGCGAGTAAGATGCGAATCCTCCATGTGAACAAGAAGTCCAGTCTTCTGGCTGAAATAACCAAAGAGTGCATGCCTTATAATCTCTGCTAGTCCTTCACTCCTGGCCCTCAATGTCTGAGGGTCCGCAGACAGCTTCAAAATGAAGCAATCTTCCCCATTAATCTTCTTCTCACCAATGCAAATGGCGTGAGCAAAAATACTTGCAGTGGTTCTTGGATCAAGACCCTGCAATATATAAACCCACCTGTAAGAGATCAGAAGACTGGGCAAAGAATATAATCATTAGAAAACAAAGAGTCACAAATAATTAAAGCTCTCTCCACCTGAAGAGAACGGCGCAAGGGTCTAACTGGGCCTTTTGCAGTGTGTGCCCCCAGCCAAGGTGTGTGTCTCCAGACAAGCTTGCCGTTGCAGCCTGCATGCACTTTGCTTCCCCCAACTGCAAGCTCCACATACCACATGTCAGGATTCATCTGCCAGAGAACAAATCCTCCAGATTCTGCAGTTCTAGCAGCATTCCTGTTCTTCACTACCTTTGTCGCAGTTTCAAATTCTGAAGCTACCATTTTCAACTTGCCCATGGCATAAGCATTCTTAACAGAATTCAGGAGCTTTTGCCCTCCAGTTGCAGCAGTATACTGTTGCAATATGTACTGTGCGGACAAAGTTTCCTATTAAATTACAAATCCATGTCAGAAAAAAATGAACTTCAGATACAGAGTAAATCTGAATCCAGTACTCAAGTAGAAAATTGTAGAAAAGAAATTAGTAAAATGAGTATTCATGAATTAGAGTTCATTTTTCACCAAAAGTACACGGAAAGTGACATAAACCATGAACCTCATGCTAGAACTAAACTTTGTTGCTTAACATTCCTATAATCATTCTTCCTCCCTCCATTTTTCAGCACCACAGAATAAATTGAACTTTATGCACACAAACTCAAGGAAGTTTACTGTTTACATCATTCTATATTAAAGAAAATGAAAAACAAATATAATTGAGTAGAGAGAGCATTTTCAAATCAAAACTTTTGCACTTATATAAAAGAATTTCAATCAATTCTTACCATTACCATTTCCATCTAAACAAACTATACGCTGCCAACAGAAATTCCGGAATGTCTTGACAATTTAGCATATATAAATAAATGTTTTCGCAGAATCAGAGAAACATACAATAGGAGAGTCTTTGACGCTGATATGTGGCCAATGGTCAGTGGTGCTAACATGCACCGGCGCAAGGGGGGCACCCATCACCCCAAGCAACAACCTTATATCAGAGTTCTTACTGTGCCCATTTCCATCGGAGGCCACTGTGGAGACTGATGGATTCCGGGTTAGTTGTCCAATGACCCACTGTCCGACCGACCCAACCCGTTTCGAATCGCAAATTTCCCCGCAATCCGGATCCGGACCCTCAATCAATGGTGTCAGAGTCTCCCCCACTGGTTTCAGACTCCCAGATCTTAGAACCGACGACTCAGGATTATTCTTGTTCCTGCGATGCAGACCAGGACTCTTTGAGCGTGACCTTGAGGGAGATAAACCCCGTACAACACCATCCTTTAAACCCGAAAAGAACCCTGGTTTTTTCTCCATCTTCCGACCCTGAGACTCTTAAATATAACGCCAAATAACGTAATTTTTTTTCCTAATCTCTATCTCTATGTTTTCATAAACTTTAGAGTGAGAAAAATAAAGATTACAAAATATATCGTCGTCGTTTTCTATGGGAGCACTCGATCAATAACATAAAACAAACGGTATACAGAAAATGGCGAGGTGATATATATACACATAGCAGGGGGCATTGTGGGGGGCGTTTGCTGTTATAAAGAGAGTGAAATGTAGCGTGTAGTAGAGTGATTTTTCGTTAGAGAAAAGAGGAGAAACTGTGGAGTGAGTAGCAGAACAGTGAGGAAAACGTTGAGAAGAAAGTGGCGTTTTCAGAGAGAGAAATACACTGAAGAGTATGACTGTGTCTGTGTGAAAACGACTTGTTTGTGGAGAGAGGATAGTCTGCTGGCTTCTTTGGGATGAGAGGGTGAGTGTGGTTTCACGCGCAGTGAATGCGCCCTTCGGCTGGAATCAGAAAGGGGGGCATTAACGATTTGCAATTATTATCATTTCTTAGTGTGACAAAAATGATATTTTTGGTGAATAGAGTTGGGTATAAGCTTCTGTTTGTCTACCATTTTCAGTGTTCTAAAAAGCGCGCAAATGCATCGTCTAGGCGTGCCTAGGTGCGACTCGTGGAAAAAACGCTTCGAATTCGGGTAATGCGCGAAAAATGCGTTTTTTGGTTTTTTGTTTCGAAAATGCGCGCGTCTAGGTGAGCATTGTCCCGCATTATGCACGCATTGTCCGCACATTTTAGAACAAAAAAAAAAAATTTTTTT